ATTAGATTACTTATCAATTGCACCATACAGGAAATTTTGGTCCATATTCAAACTTGCTACTCAAGGTGTATAAAAGAGAACAGTTATTCTCTGGTATAAGCTGTGGAGCACTGATTTATGTTAAACCTGTAGGTGGCAGTGAAAGAAATACTGTTGAAGGAGTCTCTTGTGGGCTGTTCATCACAGTCAACTATCTTGGGGATCTCTTGGTTTTTGGGTGAATATTATAGTTGGAGAAATGCCTTTAAAGTCCCTAATTTGTGTGTCTTCATCGTATTTATTAGATGTAGACACTGTAGATACTATATTATCTTTGGATAGTTATGATAATATCATAGGGTCTGGTTATATACAATAGATTTTGCGGCACCTTCTGGGTGGAAGATGGAGGTATGTAAATATAGGGATCAATCAGTGGATTTCCTTTGTAAAATAATGACAATAGTTCATTGTTCATCACAGTAATTTCAGGAAATGTATTTGGCTTTCTTGGACCTTTTAATTTTTGTTACCAACGAAGTTGAAAGCTGCTGAACTTTTAAGGAATATGGTACAGTATTTGTTCATGTTTGCTTGTTAAGGAGAATCAGGCAGACAAAAAAAGTAAGGCTAAAACAGAAGAAATCAATAACATTGTAGTAAAATAAAATTACTGTATATCTTCTTGGATTTTGTTCTTCATTGTATTACATTAATGCCGAAAGTTCCAGAAAAAAAAGATGAGAAAAACAGGGAGGGGGAGAGGAGAGTGTCTAAGAATACACAATTTGTCACATACAATATTGATTAATCAGTTTCATTTTTTAAAATTTAATTATCCCTATCAGAAGTCTCTATGTCTTGTCATCTTTTATCATGTTCTCATTTTCATTCATTTCTGAAAACTGTAGTTTTGCTTATAAAGAGAAGCTTCTCCGTCCCTTCATGTTAATTTCTCGATTTGGTGTGAATATTTCGAACACTGACTAATTTCTTTCATATCCTATGTATTATTTTAAAATATTTAAAATATTTCATTATCATTTTTCTCATGGGGGGGGAGAACCAAGGGGGGAAAAGAAAATAAATAAGAAGCATTGTTTTTCAAGTGACTCTGCCCCTTATCTGCAGATACGTATTTTCACTCCAAATCTGAAATAATAGTAGCAGAACTTGATATTTCTCTTGTCTAAGAGGATCACCAAGAACAATATTCTTGATGGATGGTAATCTATTATCACCTGGGATGTGGGTCTTAAGGGCTTCAACATCTACAGTGGCTGGAAGAGTTTTTCCTGGGAAGTTATCTATGCCGTGTAGTTTTCTCAGGATCTAATGTGTAATTTGGATGGTAGTGGCACATGGTCTGAGTCCATAAAGACCAGACATCCCACTGTAATTGTGTCAATTCCAGAAACAGTGGGGTATCCCTTAGAAATTTGGCCATTTCCCCACTATTAATTTAAACTATCTATCCTTTCATAGGTTCTTCCTCACAGTTCATTCAATGTGCTGTCCCCCAGTCTTTGAGCTGGCAAAAAACTATTCTCATCTAAATCAGTTAGATGAGCAATAACACTTCCGGTTGCATCAGGTTACCTGATCTCATCTTCAAGATGAAGAACAGTGCCGCATTATAGATTTTGTACAGTGTTGAAGCTGTAGCAGAATAGTGTTGGATTAAAATGGGAAAACAACTTTTATTCCTGTAGAAAAAGTAATAACATGTCTGTTTCAGTTATAGTCTGGAAAAAGCAGGGCCAACATTTTGTGATCAAGGGAGAAGACTGGAGTTGTCAGGGCATTAAACTGATGCTGTAAACTGCAAGTGGGAACAAAGCCTGTATCTTTCTGCTAAGAATTTACTCCACCCGTTTTACAGTATGAAGTAGGTTTAAGTTGTGACAGCTTACGAAATAATAAAATTGGTTAACTTTAAAAGTGACACAAATCTCATGGGATTTTTTTTTTTGGTTTATTATTTGTTATATAGAGTTATATGGGCCCCAAACCGACACCCAATTCTGGGTCGCTAACAATCAATAAAATAAGCCAACAATACAAATTAAAAAATTAAAAATGACGTATTACACTCAGAATTCTCCCTAGAAGATATAATCATCATACCAAGATGGGCTCACCCAGCAGCCTGGCCCAATGCTTGGGGGAAAGGCCAGGTCTTATGAAACGCCGTAGGGTTAGGGCCATCTGAATTTTGTGGGGGGGGGGGAGGTTATGCCGTTCCATAATCAGGTATCATGGGAGAAGAGGCATGCTTCCTGGGTCCCATTAGGTGGCATTGTTGAATAGGCTTCACAGAATTAGAATTAATTGACCAGATGTAGCTTCCAGGTGGTCTCGAGGGCACCCCATAGGATGCAATAATCCAAAGGGGAGGTAACCAAAGAGTGAGTGACAGTGAGTAGGGCCTCCCAGTTTAGTAACAAGGGTAACTGGTACATAAGGTGCATCCGTGCAAAGGCCCTCCTGAGCCACGGCTGCCGTCTGTTTTCTGATGAATCGGTGCAGTTTCTCCAACCTGGTGGCCTCCAGAGGTGTTTAGGCAATAACTCCTCAAATTCTTCCTCAAGCTCACAGATGGTATCACATGGCACCAGGCTGGGAAAGGCTAAAAAGAGAAATGGGGAAAAGAAGGGCCATTGAACAGTTTACTGATCAAAGCTTACGCTTACTGAAGTCAGCATTTAATTCAATGGAGACTACTTAC